TATATATATATATATACACACACACATACATACAGTATATATACAGCATTTCCCAGAGTCAGGTTGTGAGCTAACATTACAACCTATGCCATGTCTATATGACACCCAGACCACACTTGCAACACCTGATTGTAGGACACCGGATTCTCTGCACAATCTCTGGGAATTCAATCCAATAGAATGTGTGCCAAGTGTTTCCAACAAAGAGATCTCTCTGTCCCTCACTCTATGTATACACTCTCCTACTTTTTGTTCAACCCTGGGATCATTAGAGTTACAGTGCGGAAAACATTACAGCGGAAAAAAAAAAAAGACTAAGCATGACCTTATCATACATTTCCCAGACAAGATACAATTACGTATGCATAAATATCTGCAGCCTGCTTTAAATATTGATGGAAAGCTGATGTATATTTTTTTGCCAAATTAAATCTAAAATAAAACTACTGCACAATGCAGCTGTACCCGCATTTCCCTGACTTACAGGGAAATATATATGTGGACACTGTTTATTCAGGATTAGTACATTTCTTCCTCAGAGACTGAACTTAATTGTGTAGGTCGCTGTAAGCAGCCACCTAATTATTATATAGTGTGAAACAGAATCTGCTAGTTTTACCTTGCAGAATGTTCAATTTCAAAAACAATAACTCTGCTAATTTCACAAAACATAGAAACAAAACAGAAAAAAAAAATTAAAATACATCTTCAGAGGCTCAAAATAGTTGTTAATTAAGAATATAGCGCAGGCTTCTCTGCAGAGCTTGGGGTTTATTTTAATCCCTTGTTATCTGTATGCACTTTCAGCGCCAGCTTACAGAGCTCAATGCTCCAGCTCCTGGCAGGAGGTTTCAGCCAATGCCCGTGTTTTTCTTCTGCCAGCATACATAGAAAGTCTACTATAAAAGGCTAATCACCTTCCCCATATCCTCCTTTCCCAGCAGCTGAGCGCCTCCCCCCTCGACAAGTCTGGGGATACAGATTGTTTTTCAAAACACTATGCCCTAAAGAATTGCAGTTGACTCACTGGACTGTTCAACAGAAGGTAGCGTTTATTATCACACTGTATTCAAGCAGTCCGAATATAAATAAATAAAATGTCCTTATGTGGAGCCTGATGCACTCATGTTTCACTTACATTAGCAGAATCATAGCTCTAGTAGGAATTCTTACCTGAAACCAATTGCTGGCCAGCCAGTCCTACAGGGACCATCCCAAGATTATTCATAGCAGTGGCCCAGGCTGTCGGGTCTGTGACTGACATGGTGAGGTGTGTTGCATCGATAGCTATACTTCCCAGAGCATCAGCTGCTGCAAACAAGTCAGAGAGTTTTAGTAAATATAAAAATGACAGTCTCTAGGCAAACATCCAAGTAAGTGTGCACTGGTTTAGATTGGCTTTTAATTCTTAAACCATGTTCCATTTGTTTAAAGTTGGTGCAGCAAGATATAATGACCTTTACTTTAAATGTAATCAACTCAACATGATATTAATAATAATAATATAAACAGTATATACACATATACAGTACATGTATGCAGGGCTTGGCAAAACTGGGGGTTACTGATAACTGCTGCTAGGAGATCTATAACCAGCATTTGGGCAGATGGTATGGCACATGCAATGTCACAGAACTGTTATGCTATACCCTACTCTATCCAAACTGAAAAAAGGCTATAGATGTACTATTTATGACCAAGAGTTATGACTCGATATAACTGGGTTGGAAAGAATTGGTTACTTAGTTAATTCAAATGCAAATTAGATGCAAAATTCAAAGTACGATACCACAGTCCAGGTTTGTTTCACTGAAAGAATGAGAAAAGAAACAATACTTTTAAGGTTGATTGCTACCTTGAGTGGAAGTAAAATGATAAAAATGAAATAATTTGCTGGGAAGTAGGGATTTTTGCCAGAAAAGACATGCAAAGTCTATTTTGCTAAATAAATTCTTCCTCATTGTGCAGTGTAAACGCTCAGCCAATTCACAGCATCTCTTAGATGCCATGAATTAGCCAGGTGCCGTGGAGAATGAAACTCCTGCGTGTATGCCGAAAAGTCATTCCAAGATCCTGTAAGTGTTGGCGACAGAGACTACGGCAGCGGGGGACAGAGCCGAGGACCAAAGATCCATTCGGCAGTACTGAAGAAGGGTACACTTGTATGGTAAGTGTGCCCTAATGTTCATGTATGCGGTACATACTTGCACATTACGGCAAACAACTCAAATTTACAAAGTGGTCTACTTCCGCTTCAATGCTCAAGTTGCTTAATAAGGCTGAAACCACTTATGTACTTCGCTGAAATTAGGTTGTATGACTAAATTAATTATATCTTACCAGTAGTTTAAAGAAACATGCCTGGTTTTATTGTGTTTGCTTTGTTCTGCACTGATAACAAAATCAAAGAAATCATAGGCAACACTGCTCTGTGCACTGGTTTCAAAATGCATTTAAATGGGTATATGTTACTGTCAATAACCTGTGACTTTGTTTTATCAGCAGCTCTGAAATGGCAAATCTCCCATGATTGGTTTCACTGTGTCCTACAATGCCAAGTACGCTGTCAGAGTTGTAAAAGGCAAATTATTTCATGCTTGGAACCAACCTTGTCAAATATGACATATCAAATGCAACAGACACTGACTGTTCAACCAAGGGTAAGTGCTGACAGGTGAAAGAGAGGAAAAAGTTATATTAAATGAATCACATTGTGGAATGTGTTGAACCACAAATACACAGAATCAGATTTATGCAATGTCTTTAGTGCTATAATGTGACTTTGAGTGCACCAAGTGATATGGACAACAGATAACAAAAAAAGTCAAATAGGAAGGCTGGAAAGTTTGGAGTTTCTCTAGTGTTCTCCGCTTACTGTGGAAAGATAAGCTGCTGGCAAGGTTTACTTGTGATGCAAAGTTTACCTGACAATAGCTACAAAATAGATAAGGAGAAGGTCCAAAAATGTATTTAACTGAATCCCAAGAACTGTTTATGTGTGATTGATGATGGGGCCAGTTGATGGCCGTACCTGGAATTTTGACCACATGACTGTTCACAACTGAAGAATATATAGCATATATATAGCAATAAAGCTTTATACATTATATCCAATGTTCTTGTTATAATCTGTTTTTTGCATTGCTAATTCACAGTTATAATGCTGAGCACATATTCTCTTTATTATGTATACTGTTGTGAAATAATTGTACAGTGTTGAATATTTCTAATGATCGCTGCATTTGCATTTGTTCTTTATTATACATTTTTGTTATTTGGTAAAAATGTATAAACACAATTGAAAAGAAATCCTGGAACTGGTCATCAATACAGAGCAAAAACTGTGCCACATTCATATATAGCCATATGTGTGTAATGCTATGTATGGGCTCCAACCACAGGTATAGTCTGTCACAGGATTTCCCAGTACCTATTAGCCCCATGCCGTCAGTTATAAAAAGGGATCTGTAATGTTCCGATCGCAACAGGTCTTTCCCATGTACTGCCCACAATATTTACAATTTGTTTTCATTTTCTTTTTATACATAAAACATGTTTCTTCTCTTTTTATGAAAGATATCACTACTGTAGATTTGAAGTACCATCAAACTTTCAAATCAACATCTAAAAAGGCATTTTGTTTATGTTTTGCACATTCATGGATGCTAAAATGCTCTTTTAACTGGAACCCCATAGAGGCAAAGGCCAAGTATGAATCATGTATACATCATGTCATTCAGAGCAAAACAGACACACATTTAAAGGGGAATGTCAGCTTTCATCAAATAGTTTTAAAATAATACAAAAGTACAAAAAACTATCAAAGCACAAATATAATGTTTGTTAAATATACTATGAACTGCTCACCAGGGACCCATTCGTTATTAACTTCAAACCTGTAAAACCCTTTTTAAAAGTTATTCAGTAAAGATTCAGTTATTCACTGCCCTGCCACAATAGCACTGTAGTTTCCACCCGATTTTAAAAGCGCACTCCCGAGCCCCTGCGGGTCTTCTCTTGCTGAAAGTGCAGATAACTGGCAGGAAGGGGAAATTACTGATATTATCAGAAAGTGGGAGAACCCTGAACCTAGCCATCCACTGTATAGGTTATATACAGGCGATATGAATACCCCAGTTAGGGGTAACAGATTTGCAGAAAGAACACTTAGGTGCACTTTAAGTTTCAAAGCCTGAAAACTTAGTCATTGGGTGAGTCCGTTCCCTAGATTGTGTCTTTCACTTTTATATCACTGACACTTACAATTGACAGTCGATTGTACTGTTTAAAAAAAACCCATAGCATTTGCTGGAATTACTCTTTAAGAACATCACTGAAAAGGGGTTATATGTAGAGCCTACCAAAGGGGTATGTAGGGCCCACAGTTGCAGGTAGAGCTTGCTAGGCTGAGTCAGCCCCTGGCTTCCTACATTAACGGAAACCTGTGCTTGAACAGTATTTTGCTGGATGCAGTGAAGCAAAATAATAAAAGCATGGTCTACCTTTGTGACTATGTGGCATTTTACACCCATATCTAGGGTATAACTTGAAATATGATCCCATTTTCCAGCCCCCCCCCCTTCCAAAATCATGGGGTGCTTCTCCTTGCAGGCTCCTGCTTTCACACACCCACATCATTCATTCAGGATCTGTGATAAAAAAAAAATCTGCCATATCGGCACAGGGACTCGTAGATCTCAGTGGAGATCTCAATGCCGTGACATCACTGCATTTGTAGTCTGCTGAAGAGTCTACTCATTGCATCCTCAAAACACTGATTGCAGGTGCAATGCTCTGCAGTCCTGAATGCAAAAACATAATAAATACAGATTTTTCTTTCATCAATCTGTGTACATTTATTTATTTTTTTCAAAAGGTGGACTATGCATTTAAAGAAAAACAAGCCTCCCAAGCTGCACATATTCTGGGAAAAAGATTCTGTACATTAATAAAGTAATATAACATCCTCATGTAGAACATATTTCCTACCTGTAGCCATTTTTGTAGGGTCTTTTTGTTGAGTGCTTTCAACTATGGATACAGCTCTTAATGCATTGTTATCATTCTGAGACATGAAAGCTGTTTTGTTAATTGAAGAGTCCACTAGCAACTTGTTAAACCCTAAACGGAAAAGAAAGAGAAATTATGTTGCATGTTAATTACATGCAGAGTGACAATAAACTTGACCAACTATTACTTCAAATAAAGAAACAAAGGTGTAGTTTAAATGTTTACACAACTCATTTACATACAAAGCAGTCCTTGTTCAACCATCCAGTGCAAAAAAAGATTGAAATTCTAGTGTTGCAAGTGTCTTATTGACAATACAATGTATGTGCTAAGTGGTAAAGAAAAATGTATGTTAAACAATAATTTTGGAGGATTGAATTACACTCATACCCATAATTAGAGTCAACGTGTGACACTGAAGCTGTCACAGGTCAGTTCTATTGATCGGGAACTGAGTAATAACATACCACCGATCACTCAGTTCCAGTTCCTGATCATCTGCCTGCAGAGAGTGGTGACTGTCTTTCACCGCTCCCCACAGGGATTTCCACAGGGGAGGGGGGGCACAGCTGGCTCTGCCTTTAGAGAGGCAGAGCCAGCTGTCAACCAGGCAGCAGGGTGGATAACGACAATATTGTCGGGATCCGTTCCCGTGGGCAGCGCTATCAGCATATAGTGGGCAAATAGCTGACAGGAGGGTCACAGGAGGACATTAGTATTAGTGACGTGCGGTACTTTCCCTGCTGGGTGAGGCATTCTTCCATTTAAACCATAAAATTAATTTCTTTTATTTGCTATATATTAGAGGTGCACCGAAATGGAAATTTCAAAACTGAAACGAAACAGAAATTTAAAAAAATTGTCGGGCCGAAACTGAAAATGTTTTTTATTTTAATATTTAATTTTTATTAATGTTTTTAAACTTTTCCATTTTATTTTATTTATTTGTATTCATTAATTCATTTTTTTTAAATATTTTTATTTTTTACTTTACTTTTAGGGGCTTTGGGGAAATATTGGGGGTTTAAACAGACCCCTGATATTTCCCTTTTAAAATAGAAAAGGAGGATTGAGGACACAAAGACCTCAATCTCTTTTTCTGCAGCCCCAGTTTTCAATGAACTCCTCTATGAGTGTTCCTGTTCATTGATAACATGAGAGCAGAGTGTATTTACTATAACCACAACTATGAATGAACAGGAGGTGATGTAGATCACTTCCCATTCCTTCATAATTGAGGATATAGTCAACATGTCCTCAATTATCTACAAACACTCAGCGATCGCTGAGTGTTTGCACTTGCTCTCCTTCCTGACAGCTGTCACTGGAGGCTGGGCGTGACGGTGCAGGAGGAGAGCTCAGCCTCCTGTGACAGTGCGGGTTGTCTCCGCCCCCACACCGCTCTGTCGGACTGTGATAGGAGGCTGAGCGGTGTGGGAGGAGAGACGCCGGCCGCTCACAGCGCTCGGCCGGCTGTCACACTTTCTCTCCTCCCAGCTGGGACACAGAGCAGCGCCCAGCGGGAGAAAAGAAAGCAGGGATGCGCCGATGTATCGGCACAAAAATGGCACTTTCGGCATTTAGCCAAAAGGGCCATTTTCGGCTGATATGTTTTGCCAGCCGATATATCGGTGCATCCCTACTATATATACATCTAATGATCCTACCAAAAATCTAGCGTGCCGATAACCTTCTGTACACACTATCTCTGCTGCATGTTTGATCAGTTAGCATTATTAGTAGGGCTGCAACTAATGATTATTTTCATAATTGATAAGTTGCACGATTATTTTTTGGATTAATCGGATAAAAAAATTAAATACCATTTTTAATTTAAAATAAAATACACAAATGCAGTGTTACAAACAGAGTTACACTTCAGAATAAAACTGCATGCACAATTTTTTGCAATCACACGGCATTGCAGTACCATGCGTTCCAGTGAGGGTGATCTCACTGTGGGTGGGAGGCGCGTTTGGGGTGCTAATGAATGGCACTGCAAAGCACCTCCAGCATCAGAATTTGTCAGGCCAAAACTGAAAATGACTTTTTTCCACCTCTCAATTAAAAAAAAAAATAATTGTATTGTAAGCACATGACGCTTAAATAGCTTTAGCCAGGGAATGACAGCTGCCAGTGGCAAGATTCCGCAGGCGGCAGCTGAATGTAAATACAGCAGGTAGTGGGCTGGTGCAAAAGTCAGCCGGCTATTGCAATTTGAAATGGCCAATAGCAGGCTGGCTATTGCACCAGCCCACTACCTGCTGTATATACATTGCTTGCTGTGCCCTCCTCCCAGAGTGGAGGAGAGCTAGGAGATCCAACCAACTAATTGGTAACGAGAGTAGTTGACAACTATTCTCATTATCGATTATTATTGAATAATCAATTAGTTAGTTGAAGCCCTAATTGTTAGCAGTTTTCTCTGTAAACCACAGAACACCTTTACTCCTGTTACAGAGAAGAAGAGATGATGTGTTCTGTAGACCTAAAACACTTCCTGCCTTAAGGCAACAACACTGCTACTCCGTGAGTACAGTATGGTAAGTGGGTGCTGTTCTTCTAGGACATGTGGTATGGCACTGGCAGGATCACTAGGTGAAAATATGGGTATAAAAACCTGACAAAAAAAAATAGAGGCAACACATATAAAGAGCTGGTAAGCTTCAATATATACTGTAAATTTTTTGTTCTTGGGTTAGATCCGCTTTAACATTTTCCATCCGTAAACAATGCCAGTATCGCAAGAATTTGCAAGTGTACATTTTACTGTGTGTTTTGAACAAATTATAGCTTGACCAGTTTATCATCATATGTAATAAAACATTTTTTACATTTCTGCCCAGTGATATGTGTGTTTGAAACACTGAAAACAAAGCTGCCTGATTCATGTAAGTGAAGAGCCGTGACATGAATCCTTACAGAGAAAGGAAGATCTTCGATTAAAGGGTAAAAATGACAAATAAAAGCAGTGAGACAATGACAGGCATGCCAAACAGCATTTCATGACACACAACACAATGAATAATCCCTCCAACTAATAGTGCCAGGAATTTGACATTCCAAACGTTGTCATCCTTCCCAGAATGGCTAAATTCTGGGTTCAAAAAATGCATGAAATTGCAACTTTATATTCAGTGTATAAAAACCATACAATGCTAATTATGAAGCCTCATACTGATTATGATTATAGGCTTCTCATTTTTGCACTCTTGGAGCATCCTTTCAGCTCCCACATAAGTCAGTGGACAGAAATACTCTTAATTTAGACAGCAATTAGACACAAAAAAGATAGAAAAGCAGGCCTGGAACACCACACCAAAAATACATATTCAGTGTCAATGGTTTATATCTCCAGCTCATCATGCCACCCACCTGACTGGCTACAAATATGCCCCTGTCACTAACTTGTATACAGGGATGCTGGCAGAGAAAATAAAAAAAATACACACACATACATACACACAATTCAACATGTGCTCAGTACACCAGGGATGTAGAATGAAGGCTAAATCTGGCTAGCAATTCAATGGGTAGCTACGTATATATTATTCTACAGGTAGAATGAAAAAAGCTAAATGGTTATTCTTGATACTAATTTGAACATTAATTTTCTTTCCAGTCATACACTTTGATTATGAAACTCGTAATGATCATTCAGTCCCGAGAGTCTTTGAAAATAATCCTTCAGATATAGTTTATTATGAGTTCTGACAAGTCTTGCTTAAATATGTATACATCCCATTACAAAGCACAGCGGGGATATTTCCAAAAGTTATAAATTAAATGGCTTTATCTACCAAGGGAGCGCATTAATCTAAAAACTCAGCTATTAAAGTTTACTTAAAATTCTAATGAAAAATGTACAGCACTAAGACTTCTTGAACTAAAATAGGATTTCTGTACTCACATTGAAGTCCTTTTCTCAGAGTCCATTGAGGGGCAAAGGAATTCAGAAACTGTCAGGTTAATTCAAAGTAGGATTGGACGTTGGCAAACACAAACATGTAGGCTGACCTAGGAAAACCCCTTCTATTCGGTGAATGCCAAGAACATCATTATTGACACAGAGGGGTTAGACCTGTGCCCCTTAATGGACTTCATAAAAGGATTTTACAGTGAAAAAAAATCCTATTTCTCTTGTCCATTGAAGGGCACAGACATTGACATACTGTTAAGACACAAGCAGTCCACTTGCAGGATGGGCAAAACAGAAACAACCGCTAACGGAGTCCCATGAAGAGGACTAGGGACTTCCTGTAGCCCAGGAGCTACTTGAAGGATCAATGCCTGAACCAGAACCTGGATGAGTTAGAACTCCCTACTAGATAGAGGAACCTGTCTATCTAACAAATTTGGAAGGGAGCCCCAAACCTAAACATGCAAAAAGCTGGGCAGCCAGCCACAACCCCTGCAACAACAAATTCCCTCTAATCTTGAACCTGAGGATTGGGGAGTCCCTCTAGTGAGGAGGCTCATTGAGAAGTAACATGTAACACAACAAGCTTATGTCCCATGGGCAGTAAATCCTTCTGAGGAAGGAGGCCTGTAAGAGGCACAGCTCCAGAGCCCAAGATAAAATCAGGACTAGAGATAGGGGTGCAGGTGTGAGAGGAACCCAAGGGGACTGGAGAACGTGAATGGGTGCATAAAGGAGCACAGGGACAATGATAAGGAGCAACTGAGGCTATCAGAGGCTAGGCAGATTATTTGGCTTGGGGGCTAAAAAAGTGGGGCTGTTTGCACCCATGACATTATGTAAAATGGCTACAAAAGGGTTTGAAAAAGAGAGCTAGGCAGATTATTTGGTGGCAAAAAGACAGGAAGTTAATGTTATTAAGTTTTCCACAATTATTTTTGTGAAAAGATGATAAATAAAAATAGATTCGAAAAATTACTGTAATTAACGTTGTAAACTAAAAAAAAAATACTTTAATATAAGAAAGTACATTGACATTAACAATAAACTTCTCTTATTTGCTCCCTTTAGGTCTGTTCAACATACTATTGAAAACATTTTGTTATATCTGTTCGATAAATGCAAACAAAATACCTGCTGATCCTGCCAGAATTTTAGTGCCATCAGGTCTTCTGTGCTGTTTGCAATATTA